ATGAGAGTGATGCACAGTGATGTTTGAGAACCTAAGGCAGGAAGTAAAGAGGGCATTTAAAGAAGAGGTTGAAAGCGTAGGGGCATTTGTCATGGAAAAAGCTCTAGCCCCTGGAAGAAGTATGGAACACTGACTGTGGTAGATTGTATAGGAGATGACAGATGTCTAGAGGGGCTTTTCTTTCTCTCTAAGGTAGTAGGATGAAAAGTGTCAAGATGAGAGACAGGAAAGATTAGCTGGCTCCTGGAGTTACAACCAGAACTCATGTACACGTAGAGGATCCCAAGGCCAAATACTCATTGCAGTGATCTAGTCAGCAACTTGTGGCCTTCATTCTTGGTTCCAATAGAATATGCACAATATTCCCAGAAAGTAGTAGTCATTTGGTCTTCTGCTCTGTGCAAATATCAACTAGAACTGATCAGGATGAGTCTTATTATCCCAATAATCAAGTTTGGCTGAATCTTCATATAAATGGCCAATGCTCACAGAATTTTCTGAAGGAGATAGATTTTAGTGTTTCCAAAAAAAAGAGTTATCATCTAGGGCCCATTCAATCACTAAACATTAATTGAAGACTGGGGCTCAAATACATCAAGAGTTTTTTTCTTAATGCTACTGAATAAGAAATAGTGTAGCTATTAAGAGTTTCAGTTCTGTAGCCACAGTTGGGACATCTTTTCAAATCTTGACTCTGACACCTGCCCACTATATAACCTGGAGGTGTGTGGTTTGAACTCACTGAGCCTCATTTCCTCATCTATAAAACAATAATAATATAATAATAATAAGGTCTACTTTATAAGATTTTGGTGGTTAGATAACATTAGAAGCACTTTGTACATGATGAATTGCTCATAAATGATAGTTATTAAGTGTGCAGGCATAAGGCAAGAGCTAGGAAATGTGAGACCACATAGGATACAGTTGCTGCTGTCAAATACTTCAAATTTTAGCTAAAGAAATAGATATATAAAGAAGGACTAACAATCCAGTGTTGATAAGTGTCAAACTCCGAGTATATACTGCATAGTTCCATGGGAGCATGAAGGGAACAGCATTTAACTTTCTTTGCAGAGTGAAGCAAGAAAAGACTTGCTAGAGGAGAAGAAACCCAAGAGTGAGTCTTCAAGAATAAGGACTGCCCTGACTGATGTGGCTCAGTATGATGGTCATTGTGCTACAAACTGAAAGGTTGCTGGTTTGTCCTAGTCAGGGCACATGCCTGGGTTTTGGGCCATATCCCTGGTTGGGGGCATATGGGAGACAACTGATTGATGTTTCTCTGGCACATTGATATTTCTCTCCCTCCTTTCCCCTCTCTATAACACTAAATAAAATTTAAAAAAAAAGCAAGAATAAAGACTAATGGGAGTTATCCACACAAAGCAAAGTGGAAACGGTAAAAAGTAAGACTTTCCAGGCCTTGGTCTAGCATGTGTAAAACTTGGCAGTAAGAGAAAAGCCAGCAGGGGATGGAGGAATATGGCAAAAAAGGATTAAAAAGTACAAATTTCCAGTTATAAAAATAGTTACAGGGGTGTGATTTACAGCATAGGGAATACAGTCAATAATATTGTAAAAATTATGAAAGGTACCAGGTGGGTTCTAGGCTTACCTCACTTTGTAAGGTATATAAATGTCAAATCACTATGTTATATACCTGAAACTAATACAACATTGTATATCAACTGTAATTGAAAAATAAATTTAAAAACAAAAGCCAGCATTTAGGGAGCATGAAATGGGTATGGAACACTGGGAGCCATCACAAGAATAGACAATGGAAAGGGATGGAGGCAGATCATTCAGGCCCTTGAACAGCATGATAAGAAACATAAATTTTCAACTTGGATAGTATTCTAAGAAGCATGGGTAATGAGGAACCATTTAAGGTCTTAAACAAAGATAAGACTGGTGATATTATGTTTCAAAAGATTACTTTGGCCCAGCATAATAAATTGCAGGAAGCAAAATTGAAGACAGTAAGACCAGGTGAGAAATGCTGATACCTTATGAAGATAATGGTTTGTGAGGATGAAAGGAAGAAGATGGATTTAAGATGAGTTCGGGATATAGAACAGAGAGAGCTTGGTGACGGACTAAGGTAGAATTAAAGTAGAAGTCAAAGAAGCTCCCAAATTTATGGTTTAGACAGTTAGACCTGTGTTGGATTACCCAATAGCCAGAGTAAGCAGAGTACCCAAAAATCAGTGGAAACATACTGATTTTGGATATATTGTTTTTAAAAAGACTTAATCGTTATAGGAATATCAGAACTTTTTAGACTTCTTTTCCTTTTTATGCGTTAGTATGAATTACATATTGAAGAGGGGGGATCATAATCGTTTTATTAAGGCCATAATCCTCTGATCTGGATAGTTAGTGGTATCATTTAACCAAGAACATGGACGCTATAAAAGGAGCAAGTTTTGGCTTCCTGTATCTGTTATGCTTAGCCCTGAGCAAAGGAAATGGCATGATTAGGCTGGTAAGGGACTGACAATCAGGTGGCCTTCTGGGGAGACACCATTAAGGCAATTTACATAGCTCAGATCAAATGGGGCATTTATATTTAAAACAATATGTTTCAAATGTGCAGCTGATGCTAAATGGAGAAGTAAAGAGAGCTTATTTGCTGACAAGACAGATCATGAATTCAATTATTGGAGATAGAAATTAAGCTATGGTTTCTTAACCTGTAGTTCAGGGAAATTTTGAACTTGTAAAATTATATGCAAAATTGTGTGTGTGTGTGTGTGTGTGCGCGTGCGCGTAGTGCATTTGTATGGGCAGAAGTTCTACAGCTTCAGATTTATTAGAGTGGTCTTTGACCCCCTAAAGATCACCAGCCACCAGGAGTAAATTTATTATGAAGTAAATGTGGCCTCTTTTTCAGAGTTTCTCGCATACCTGGGAATCTTCCAAGGCCCTAGGAGGAGTCCTAGCAATTTTTTATTGTGTTTACTTAAAGGGGGTGTTCCTTTCAAATTATATAAAATGTCTGGTCCCACAAAAGCTGGATACATGGAATTTTGCAACATTATATAGTATCTTGGAGTGTATGCCATCGAAGATGGATAAATATAAAGAAAGGACTGTGAAAGACCAAAGAGTGCAGTAAGAGAGACAAAAGGAGAAGCAATGCCAATAAAATAAAGAATAGTCACTGAGGGACAAGACAGACCACACTGTCAAGGAAGTAAAATAGAAAGAGAGATGGTTAGCCATGTCCAACATGAGTGGAAGATCAAGAAAGAGGAATAATAAAAAAATTATTACATGTAGCACTTCAGGAAGTGCTACATGAGTAGCTAGGGTACCTTCAAAGGAAGTGGCAAGAACAGAAAGTTGATTGTTCTGTTTTACCTTTCTGAAAAAATAAAAATGGTTTTTGAACAAGTATAAATGGTAGCTAGGGTCCACAAACATAAATGGAGATAGAAATACCAACAGAAAACTCTAAACTTCACTGTTCAGTTAAGATAACATTCATCAATAAAGTAGGCTCACTGTAAAATTGAGATTTCTACTAAAGTTAAGTTGGATGGTACATATATACTTTTAAAAATGTGTCCTAAATGTGTTCCATGGCCAGTCAAAAGCTTTGAGTGACACTCATCCCCTCATCTCCTAATCCTGTATCCTAATCCTCTCAGTACTTGAATTTCCGTATTTCTGCCCCACATCTCTGTTCCCTAGCTGGTGATATGGAGCAGTCAGAGTTGAAAGAGAAAAGAAGGCATAGAATGATATTTGAAAATAAAAGGTTTTGGATTTAAAATTATACTGGGTTACTCAAACTAATAATTCATGTACGGTTAATTGAATGTTGTCTGAAATTCAAGCCAAGGAGACATCTATTTGAACCAGAATGTTCTAAATTGGCCACCCTGGAAATTCCAAAGTTGATCGGTTTTAATTGGGCATACATGGTTTATACTGACTTTGCCAGTATTAGCAGTGTATCTTTTTTTTTTTTTTTTGAGTGTGAAATGCAGCCTTACCAGAGATATATGCTCAAATCTGCTGATATGTCTATTATGGAAGGCACTAGATGCCATTTACAATATTTTCACAGAAACATCCTCTGGGATCTATTTCAAGATGAACTAATTTCATTACAGTTCCCAACTTAATTTCTACAGTGATTATATTTTTAAAGACTTTTGACTTAACTACTGATATGGTTGTTCATAATTGTATCACTATGAAAACTCTGCTACTTCAGGACAATGACTTTGAATGGCTAATGTAACAGAATATAATTGGGGCATAGAAAATAACTACAAATTAGAATGACTAAATAAAAAAAAACCTGGTTTGAGGTTTCTAAAAACTAAAAAAAAAATTAATTACATAAAAAGCAGTATATGTCTTTACTAGCAAAGTGCTGAGTAGGAAATGATTAAAACCATTTTTAATGATAAAGAAAGATTTGTAACATTATTGATTTTGTAATGTTATTCTTGCTGAAAGAAGACCAGTGTGCAATAAGACATGCTTCATAATGTAAACATGTAGATGAAAGATATTCCAACTGCTTGATAATTAGCTATGGTTAACATAAAAGCAATTCATAACACTTTTATATTTAGATAGCATAAGAAATTTTATTTTCTAGCCTTTATTTCTAATAGTAAGACTTATTTTTACTTGAGTATTTCTTCTGTAGTATTTGATCCAACAAAACCCATTAAATATAATAACATAGATACTTTCTGGTTACATCATTGGACTGGCAGAGGACAAAAATCAGTTCTACTGCAGATTTTGTTGGATTTTGGAAATTTATAAATTATTTGGGTATAATATCTTTTTGTCCAACTGTCAACCACTTCTGCGAATAAAATTATAATTTCTGCAGTTAAGTATTGATAAATTTGTGTTGGGATCAACTGTCATTCACATTTGTAACTCTTTTTGATGAATTTAACAGTACAAATTTTAGATGCCAAAACTATATCCCAAATAAATACATGTTGACATTTTGCCTTTAGCCAATAAGAAGAAAGAGAAAGAACGCCCAGAGATCTCTCTTCCTTCAGACTTTGAGCATACGATTCATGTGGGGTTTGATGCAGTCACTGGGGAATTCACTGTAAGTAAGCTCATTTTGTTTTGTAAGCCATGCAAAAAAATTTATTATAATAGGTTTCAAACAAGAATTTCCATGTGCCAAAATGTCATAGACTTGAAGTTTTTGATGGCAAGAATATTGGCAAAATAATTTTGTCCATCTTAACAAAAATTTCTGGTAGCTGTATAGTCTTCAAATTAATTGAAAATGCTAATTTACCATTGCATAGAAGATAATCCTAGTAGTTAGACCCTGTTTGGTTGAGTCTGTTGTTTATATTTGAAGTGAATCAGAGAATCATTGACTCAACTTGGACAGAGAAGACAATCTGTCAGAATAATTAAGGCTTTACATTGGAATCTGGATTATCCAGATCAGCTCACCCCACACAGTAACCAAAAAACTCTGTAAGACTGGCCTGTTTGCCCTTTGATTTCAAGAACATATCTTATTTTGGGGCTTAATAGTTATATTTTGTAGACATTCAAAAAACAAGCCCTATGTTTCAGGAAGAAATATTGATGGATATACATATTATGTATACCTTAATGATTATATACATACCACAGTAAATATCAATAAGAATTCTCTAGAAAAAATTTCATATCTATAGATCCAGTCTTTATTTGGATATCTGTAGTGCTCAAATTGCACAGGATCTCAGATCTATGGCATTTTATACTTAAGATCTGACGTCTTTTTTTTAGATGGAAGAAGGAAAAGTCCTGCCTAGAAATATGCCCCCAGGAAGATCAACTCTCTTTCCCATACTAGTAAGGAACTCAATCACACTCTGCATTCTGAGATAATGAGTAATTTTGAATGCATTCAAACAAAAAAAATCTTTGATATGACCATCACAATCAACTCATAGGTTCTTAAACCAGAGATAAATTTAGATTTAAATAATTGAATTTCCTGTTATATAACATGATGGTTAGTGAGTAGACTGTTATATGGTTAAGTGAAAGTTAAAGAAAAAATAAGTGACAAATTAATTTGATTTGGAAAAGTAAACCCTGTCTCTGAATTGATAACCAAATTATATATATTTTTTCAATTCTGGACATAAACTATATGAGAATGAAATTGAAATTAAGTAAACATCTTGGACTCATAAAGTGATGTCAGCTAATTATTTGTATATTCTCAGTAGCAAGAAGAGAACATTAAGAAGTACTGGCATTGATAAATTTGAGATACTGGTAGGATTTAGCCAATTTCATCACTGGAGTCAGAGACATTCAGATGGCCTGGAATTTGAGCCCAGCTTCTGTTCTTTACAATATGTGAAAATACTCTCTAAGCTATACTTAGTAAATATAGCCTCATTGTCACCACTACCACCACTATCATTACCATCAAATAATAATTTTTATAATCTTAACAAGTTAAGATCTTTTAAAAAATCATAGATTGACTATCGTTTTCACATTTGTAACAGTAAAAGTACTTAAACTTTATAAGTTTTGTCTAATATCTCTTCCCTTTTTAACTTGATAGACTTTATTTCTCCAGTTTATCTTTTTGTGTTCTATGCTTTCCTTCTGTTTAAATTTCTCTTATGTTTTATTGTTGTTATTTTAAATTTTTTCTTTTCTTTTTTTCTTCTTTTTTACTTTCTGATGTAAAAGATTTTTCTCCGCTATTCTCATATAACATTTTGTTTCATTTCCAATTTAAATTTTTTTTCTACTTTTCCCAACTTGCTTGACATCTTATATAATCTCTCTATCTTTAGTTCTTTCTTGTTTCTTTATGGGTTCTCAGTGGAAATGAAGAAAAGTGAATTGGCATCATCTTGTGGACTGCAGTCAACCATTTTAACTTTTCTATCAATTAGAACCCAAAGAACCAACCAGAGAGAGATGGGGTAGAACATGTGATAGGCAACCTTTCCAATTGCAAAAAACATTTTGATGTAGTTGAACCAAACCAAACAAAAACCTTTCTCTTCCTCCCCAAAACACAGTTTGAAATAATGCAATTGTTTGGATGTAGTCTTGTGTTAGAAATCCATTTGAATATATAGATATGACACAGGCTAAATTTGGAAATCTGATGCACTTTATTGTCATCTTGATGATCTTTTACAAAAACTTGTCCACAAATTATTTTTAAAGATGTCAAATTCTGACTTTTTTACTGCTTTAACCTATTAATTACACTTAAAAACTTAAAAAAATACAAAAAGATAATAAGCCTTATTTTAACCTTTTTAAAATCATTTTATTGGTAGAATTTAAAGTTGAGTCCTAATTCCACAGTACCACTAATCCATTGATTGCCCAGCTAATTTGATTATTGCAGTTGTTTAGGTAGGATTTTGAGCAATTTGTTGAACTGTCTAGTCCAGTTGTCTTACAAAGGCTTGTTATTTTGAATATTTGGACACTGATTTGATGTCTTGCTTGATAATTACCCTATAGCTAATTGGCCCCTATAACCTTGTACACTTGTTCATGCACTTGGACCCTGAGATTAACATTAAATTGGGAGGTGAGATTTTTGGGCATTGAACTATTAGAAGTCCTTATTCTTTATATTGCCATTTTTGTCCCAAATACTTTAGAACTCCCCCTTCCAGACCTCTAGACCTGTGACAGTCACTTCAAGTCAATCAGAGGGAAAAATGGTATGAGTGACATAAATGATCATTTTTTATAATAAGATAGATGCTTGGCCTGTTGTATCATGCTGCCATTCTCCTGGGCTATACTGTACAATACCCAGCTTGATGTACATCTAGTTGTTATTGTAGGCATTGATACCTGCTCCTGCTTCTGATGCTCTTACTTCTAGGCCTCCATTAGCTATCTAACTTTTGGGATTTGTACCTCAGCTTGGAGTAATAGGATGGCTTTCTGATTATGTGCCTTTGTGCCATACATTCAAATTTGAGTGTCAGGTTTTATTGATTAACTGGTTTATTTAAACTTAGAAAAGAAAATAGAAATTATATCAGGAATATAGTCATATGGTAAGTAGAGTTGTCTAGAAGATCCTCTGCAATTGGCAACAATTTTTCCCTGCTGTCTGATGATCACAAGACTATTTATCACAAAAGTTTAGAAGTGCCATGAGAATGTATAATAACTACAAATGTTCTAATGATTATGTTAATGACTATGCTAGTGATGTCTGCTCTAGTGGTTATGTGCAATGCATACCTGGTTTTGTAACATTTAATATCTCCTTTGGCCATTACAATATTAACCAAATGCTATTAATTGCACTTAGAATCAGAATGGAGATCATGCATGGGCTTCTGAGTTCAAATTTTTGGCTTAAGGCTTTAGCATCAAATTGCTTAATGAATGCATGGAAAATTGTTTTTTACTGTGCTTGGAGTAACCCCAAATGCTAGGAATCAAAAACCTATATTGCAAATTAAATCATTTGGGTCAAAACATGCTTCTATAGCATTGGAGATACCTTTACTTAAATAAAGTTGTTACCTTATATCTGATTTTATTTTGTGGGAAGTAGGAATTCAGAACTGTAGAATTAAAATGAAAATTATTCATATATGGTTTAAAATGAAATGGTTTCCCTTACCCTAGTCTAAATGTCTAAGAAATTCAAACACAGAGTCTGGTTATGTAGGAAATCATCCATCTAGTTTTCTTAAGCATGATTTTAGTTATGAAGTACGGAAGAATCACATCAATGAAAACAAATGTCAAATTTAACATCACCATATAGCCATCTTTTGAATTTTAACCACGTAGACACTTCCAATGTTAGACTGAAAATGTTTAACTAGAATTGGGAACTGAAATTTGTAAGTTCATCACATGGCCATTGGCTACCTGTGTGTGATTGATCACCAGTTAGAAAACTACTTACAAATTATTGTTGAAGCTGTTCATAATGTTATCCTTCTTCCCTCCAAATTCATGTTTCTGTATTTAGTAATTTCTCCAGTCATTTAATGATAATTCTTATTATTGCATATATATGGAGGAAACATCTGGCCAAAAGTGGAATTTTGCATCCAAACTTTGGAACATTGTTGTTTTCTCTTGTTTTTTTTTTTTTTTTTTTATCTGTTGCCCTATAGCCTGTTCTGCCCCTGATTTAGTTAATACCTCCCTATTTTCATAACCGCCCCACTTTAGATGGGATTACCCTCCCCCATTCAGACCCATTGGTTTCATCTCCTCCCACCTTCTAAGTTGTCCCACATTCTGTTTTAACTTTCTTTTCTTTCTTTATTTACGTCCATTACAGCCAGATCTCTATGGCTCACAGATGTGCCCAGGGAAGCTCCCAGAGGTGCGTCACAGGCCCAAAAGAAGCTTGCATCAAAGTGCTTCTTTGAGATGTCATAGCACTGCAGCAGCAGGTTCATGTGTGTGCAGTAGAGTTGTTGCTTGGCTTATCTCACTTTTTTGTTCTCATTCCCAAACTCTGGAGGCCCACGTCACACATTGTTTTGCCGAGACTTCATAGGACAAAGCCACCTAAATTGTGTCTAGATGCACTTCAGTAATAGTGTGTCTGTTTCTTGCTCCAAGTTGTTCCTGGAGGTTAGATGATTATGAAATGGGGACATCTATAGGTTGAACAAGTAGGAAAGAATACTGAATGCTCAATGCAAAACTAACCTCTGTGTGTAATTTTTGCAATTCTCCTTGGTTAGATTACCAAACACTCCTTCCTCTCTGCTCTAAATGCTTCAGATTATTGCAAATTCTTACAAGGCTTTGGCATAGTTGTCACAGGCCCCAGGTTCTTCTATGTGTGGCCAGTGAATTAAGTGGGGAGGAAGGGGTGGAAGGAGGAGACCAAAAAGCTGCAGGGGAAATACCCAAAGCAGCATTAATGTTACTGTTTAGCATCTCAGTGGTTATTGTTCCTCAACAATTCTTTGTCTCCTCTTAATCACCCTTTCTGTTAAAGCTCTAGACCCCCAAAATTACATTTTATAATCACAAAGTATGAATTGACCAAGGGTGAGGCTTTTCTTTTACTCTAAAATATATTCTAATTACAACATTCCCAGAAACAGCTTATATTATTCCAAATGAAATCTATTGATCTGCACTATACTACGCTGTGCACAAATTGAGAGAAGTCTTGCTATGTCTGCCCTGAGTCACCAGAAAAAATAAGCTAAGCCGTAAATATCATTTCATGGATGAGCAGAGTTAATATGGAGGTGATTTCCATGCGCTTTTTTTTTCTATCACAGTCATACTCCCACCCACCCTTTTTAAGTTGGATCCTAGTTTTACCTATGTGTTTTATTTAGAAAAGAGAATGATTGCATTATTAAGTTACTAACTTTAAATCTAGAGCATAACTTCAGTTTCCCAAGTGTAATCCTACAGGTAGCATGGGCTTCTTGGTGAAGAACTTTACTGGACCAGAAAAATTTAGCTGCTGAATTTTCTGATCTGTCATTCTTTTCCTTTGGTTTTCCACAGGGAATTCCTGAGCAATGGGCACGATTACTCCAAACCTCCAACATAACAAAACTGGAACAGAAGAAGAACCCACAAGCTGTTCTAGATGTTCTAAAATTCTATGATTCCAAAGAAACAGTCAACAACCAGAAATATATGAGCTTTACATCAGGAGGTAAGAGCAAATCTAGGGTGTCAAAAACTGAAAAAATAATTCTAATCTCAGAGCAGAATTAGAACAGAATACTTATAGGGCATTTGACGTCAGTTCTAGTTCCTTCTCCAAATGACTTCAACAGAAGTAAACCAAAACATGAGTTGGAAATTGAAGTTGATGTTAGGAGATTTACAGTGCTGGAATAATTTTAGAACTGAAATAAGGACATTGTTAAGTGAATCTGTAATTGTCCATTTGAATCAGCAATTACAATTGTTGTTTTGTCTCTTCACTAGTATGAAGACCCTCAGATATTTAGGATCAGGCCTTGTGATGTGTTTATGAAGTAAGAAGTATATGGATCAAACCATGGTCTCTTGAAATTTGTTTTTCTTTGGAACGATTGAATTGAACCATGATAAGCATAATGAACATGAGAACATAAGTTTAGCAGCTGCCAAGTTATTCTCGTCAGACCTCAAAAATCAGACTTCAAAAAAGAAATCATGTCTTGCTATTACTAAGAGAGTGAAAGGCCATGTGTCTGCCAAGTTTTGAATTCACTTGCTAGCTTGTAAACCTGGCCTTTATTTGAAACTTTGATGTTCAAATTTGCACTATAAGGAACTGAAATACATATACCAAACAATACTTCTGTGTTTTAAGAAAGATTATTGAGGTTGCCTCTCTAGAACAATTTCTCAAACTTTTTTTTAAACCCTTTCCCAAGCATATACATTTACTGATTCTGGAGAGAGAGAGAGAGAGAGAGAGAGAGAGATGTGAGTAAAACATCAATCAGTTGCCTCCCATATGCACCCAACCAGGGACCAAACCCACAACCTAGGCATATGCCCTGACTGGGAATCTAACCCATGACCTTTTGGTGAATGGGATGACACTCCAACCAACTAAGCCACATTGGCCAGGGCTAGAACATTTTCCTATATAACATCTAAAGAAAAAAAGAGAATACTATCATTAGTGCCCCAGTTCTGAAGAGCCCATATCTTTTGGCATTGGTTTTAGTTTAGGACAAATTTGATCTCTTCAAGAATGGTGCAAGAATTCAGTTGGAAGGAGGTGTTTATGATGTGGCCATATTAAATATCAAAGCTCAAACTTAAAGGCATATGACAATTTACATGTTAAGTGGGAATCTTTTTAATGAGAAGATTAACTTCTGTTAGCCAATGGCAAAAACCTAAAAGAAGAAAAAAGCCACCGAGGAGAGCTTTTAATGATATTTAGTCTTTTACATGGAATAAAATATTTAAGAAATCCTGGTGACATATCAAGAAATGCTTAATGTGAGGAAATCTACAGCTATACTCCAAGTACAATGTAGAACCATACGTGATGAGAACAAAAACTGCATTCAAGAAATCGACAGCATGGATGGAAGTAGAGAGCATTATGCAAAGCGAAATAAGCCAGGAGGCGAAAGAAAAATACCATATGATCTCAGCTATACGTGGAACCTAACCAACAAAACAAAGATGCAAGGAAAATAAGACCAGCAACACTGAAAGGAAAAGAAACCAACAGAGACAAGGGGGAAGGAGGGAGGGGTGGGAGAGGGAAAAGGAAGGGAAGGGGCAAATCAAAGAACACATAGCAAGGACTCATGGACAAAGCCAAAGTGGGGAAAGATTGAGGGAGGGCGGGAGGGAGGGAGGGGGCAGGGGAAAGTGGTGGTGGGAAGGCAGAGACAAATGTATTTGGAAAAATAAATTAATTAATTAGAAAAAAAACCACTTAGTCTTGTCTTCATAATTCTTCTTGCTAACAGCAGGCAGCAGTCTCTCTGCTGATTCCAATCTCCAGACTCCAAGGTTATATGGTCAGCTCTCCCTAAAATTCTCTGCATTGGTTCGACCTATAGATAGCTGCTGTTCAGTAACCAAGCAGGTAGAAGATTATCGTGAAGATGCCCCTCACTCAGCTCTTGGAGGTGTCCTCACTTGGCTTTGCCCTCCCTAGTAGGGGAGAATATCTATATTTCAACAAAAGTGGATTTCATTATGCCTGTTGAGATTAGGGAAGACAATTCCATGGAGACATCCACTGACCTTCCAGATGACAGTGACAGCAAGAAGTTTCAAGGATTTGGGAGGCGGAAGATGGTGTAGGAGTCAATGGGAGTCATGCTGACCTCCTCCCAAGACCAAACTGGAATTGCGACTAAATAGTGGAGAAATCACCTGAAAAACAATGGAACGATAGAGGGAGCGGAGCCTTGAGCCGTGGACAGACAGTGGATTCATCTCTCACACATCGCAATGGGTGAGAAGTGCGGTGGAGGCTCGAGAGGGTGGGCCAGGCGCCCATGGGCACCAGTACCACAGGGACATTGAAATGGCCAGTTAGCTCCCCCTGAGAATAACAGGGTCAGAATCATAAACAGGGACCCCTAAACTACAGAAGCTGAAACCAGGAAAACACACAGACGAAACACAACCCCAAAAACCTTAGGGATGCTCTTTACCAGAGACAGGAGGCTGGGGATGCAAAGAGACATTTAAAGGGCCAACGCAAAAAGTGCAGTGGGAGCCACCCTCCTTGATCTCTGGGTAGAGGCGGCAGCAGAGATGGCTGGTGCCTGGGAAAAGATTGGTGAGGAAGACTTTGTGAAGAGAACTGACACGACGGCCGGTGGAGCCCCGGTGATAACGTACCTCCCACTCTGCAGCTACCATCTCGCTCAGGCATAAGGGAACCAATTAACCTGCCTTTTGTGCGCTCTGCACACAGCTTGTGCGTGTGTGAGCTGGGGGGCTAAGTGCAGACAAGCTGGAAGATATACAGGATCCCTGGCCGAAGAGGTCACACAGCTGCATTGAGGCCTTGAGGAGAGACTGGAGACGGAGGCGTTGGGGAAAGAACGGGAGGAGGAACTGGGGAGACCTGACTCCCTCCCCATTCCCTAGTCTCCATCTTGGGCAGTCAGGGCGCGCCCCCAGAGGCAGAAGCGAGGCGCGCACGAACCAGACTGCCCACGATTGCAACGCCATCCGCACAAGGAGTGGATCCTTGGCGGAAGGGGTCACAGAACTGCCCAGAAACCCCTGAGGAAAGACTGGAGATAGAGGTGTTGGGGAAAGAACAGGAGGAGGAACCGAGGAGTCCCGACTCCTTCTCCTTTCCATAGTCTCCATTGTGCAGGAACAGGTCAGACCCCCAAAGAGCCCAAAGCTGAAAAGCACACAATAGACAGCCCAAAATCACTCAGTCCAGGTACGCACACTCGCGCTGCATGGCCAGCGAGGGTTGGCGAGCATGTGTGTGTACCCGTGCGGGCGGGCAAGGCTACCACAGGGTAGGGGCTGATGGGGACTGCGAGGGAGTGCGCAGATCGGTGAGGGCAGGCGTAAATGGACCCTCATGGCCCGGGAGTGCACAGCGGTCCGCAGAAATAGTGGATTCTGGGCGGAAGGCGTCACAGAGCTGCCCAGAGTCCCTGGAGGAGAGACTGGAGACAGGATTAACCGGAGAGTCCTGGAGCTGACTTCCTCCCGTTTCCTTAGTATCCATTTGGCGAGGCCAGGCGACGCCCCCAAAAGCCAGAAGCAGGGAAAGCACACAATAGAAGACCCTAAACTGACCAGTCCCGGGGCGCCCGCCGGGCTCAGGCACTAGACGAGTGTGCAAGGTTGGGCGAATAAGGGCCCAGGCGGGCTGCAGATCCTGTCGGGCCGGGGATCCTGTCGGGCAAGGGAGTGCACTCAAGGAGCCGGCGGGAGAGTGCAAAGTGATCCACAGAAATAGTGGATCCCTGGCTGAAGGGGTCAGAGAGCTGCCCAAAGCAGGAGTCAGACACAGACAATAGACTCCTGGAAAGCTCAAACAAACGACTCAAAGTCATATACGGTCAACAACTGACATCATCAGAGGCAGGCCCAGAAAGAAAAGTAAAGGAATAAATAAATAAATAAAGGAATAAACAAACAAATAAAAAGGCCCACCTACTACCATAGAAGTTTAATTCACAAAGTCAGGAAATCTAGAGGCCCAATTGAAGCAGAAGCAAAAATAAATAAATAAATAAATAAATAAATAACTTAACAGACTCTCACAAAAATGGGAAGAAAAAGAAGTTCCCCCGAAATGAGTGGAAAAGGGGACTCCCCACAGAGAGGGCTAAAGGAAATAGAGGCAAGGGAACTATCAGATATTGAATTCAAAACAATGGCTCTAAGGAAGCTCAATGAGGTCAGCCAGCTCAAAGATAATTATGAGAAACTGCAGAGAAACTATCAGGATCTTACAACAAACTATATCATCCTGGAAAAGGACATAGAAACTATCAAGAAGACACAAGAGGATATGAAGAATACCATTTCTGAATGGAAGAACACAGTCGAAGGAATCCAAAGCAGGCTGGATGAAGCCAAGGATCGAATCAGTGAGATGGAGGATAAGGTAGAAAAAAGCTCCCAGAAAGAACAAGAAATGGGAAAAAGACTCAAAAAGAATGAAGAGGCATTTAGGAAAATGTAGGATAACTGGAAACGCAATAATACCCACTTAATAGGGATACCAGAAGGAGAAGAAGAGGAGCAAGGGATAGAGAACCTCCTCGAAAAAGTAATGATGGAAAATTTCCCCAATTTGAGAAGACAAAAGGTCTCATGGATCCAGGAGGTACAGAGGACCCCACTCAAGAGGGACCTAAGGAGGTCCACTCCAAGACACATCATCATTAAAATGGCAACTATCAAAGACAGAGAGAATCCTCAAGGCAGCAAGGGAGAAGGAGAAAGTAACATACAAGGGGCCCCCGATAAGGCTAGGAGCTGACTTCTCAACAGAAACACTGCAATCCAGAAGGGAATGGCAACACATATTCCAAGTCATGAAAAGCAAGGGCCTGCAACCAAGGCTGCTCTACCCAGCAAGGCTCTCAATTAAAATAGAAGGGGAAATACGGAGTTTCGCAGACAAGAGAAGGCTAAAAGAATACATCTCTACCAAACCAGCACTGCAAGATATGCTAAAGGGACTGGTTTAAGAAGATG